GACGAGGAACAGAAAAGTGCCAGCAGGTCGTATTCACTTTCGAGAATCGGGAGAGTGTTATATGGCTCTTCAGATGCCCCACCATTACCAAGTTTAGACTCTACTCTACACATTGACGTGTCACAAATTGACCACAAAAAAGATTACAATCGCAAGTAGCAGGGCTATATTTGTAGTAGTGACCACTGGTACTATGTGGGTTAAGTGTAAGGAAACTAGGTAATTAATTGAATAATTTGTTTCATTGTTAGTCAGGTGCCCATTTATGTATTTCCAGCTGGCTGTCATCGTAAATAAAATAAGGGAGATGACTAGTGATAAGAAATTGAAAGTCTATGAGATCTTAATTGGAAAGAACGGTTTCGAGATGATGATATACTTGATGCATTCGTGCGAGGAGGAAATGCCCATCTGCAGAAATACATGCCATTTGATTTCCACCCATTTAGTTACTTGTGTTTTCGTGTTCATTTGCTACTTTTGAGTTAGTAAATGCTCTTTTGTTTCTCTGTCTTACTTTTGCCAGTAGCTGTTACAGCTAGTTCAGTTTGTGTGCGAGAATGAGGAGGAAGTAATCATAAGGTGAGGTGCTTATTGTCTGCCAGTGGGGTGCAGTCAGAAACGCTGTTGGCTGTAGCAAAGTTGATGTTCAAACAGCAAACAACACCAAAGATCATTTATCAAGCAATACGCCTATCTTGCTACTCCTTGTGACGGGTCAATTACGTGTTGGTGCTCGTCAGGCTGCATTATGGCGACATTTGATGCAGGTGTATATTGCTGGTAGTGTATACTGAGGAAGTTCTTTCCCATCGATGTGGCATGGTAGAATGCCCACATTTACTTTACAAAGTAAAGTAGCAAATTCATGCACATGAAATAGTGAGTAATGTGGGCAGCAGAATTCGTTCAGTGGCATCCCTCTAAGTTGCGTCGTCTGAAGTAATGCCCTTTGATCACTACGTCGCTCCTAATGAAGGCGAATTAATGAATGAAGTGTAGTGCTGGGGGAACGCCCTATAATCCAGTAGAAGCGCTATTTGAACAAGGCGAGATAAGACATGCCAAGGTTCTATCAAGCAATGCTCGATTTGTCTCATTGGGCCTCTCCTTTGTACACTCCAAGCACCTTCAACCATACCACTTGGCTGTATGCACAGTAAAGTTGTACTGCAACTTTTGAGCTCACCAAAAGCAAACAATGTGTAAATTAAGTAAGTTTTTCATAACATCGACACCCTACAATACAGATGTTGACAACGTTACAGGCCTCATGAATAGTACACTTTGATGGAGACTAATCAGGCAGTAAAAGTTCTTTTCATTCAGCACCGGGAATACTTATCCCGTCTCCTGCCTCCTTCAATATGATGCCATACAGCCTCGTAGGCCTAATGAACTGAAGCAGTCATTCCAGACGTGTCAGCACCTGATGGCTCAACTGCACCCAACTCTCGCTCTTCCTGTAAGGGGTAAAGCGTTTCCACCACCTCGGTCAAGGCACATGGCACTTTGTGGTGGGTTGTTTTCCCCCCAAGCCATCATGTAATAGACGATGAAATTAGGCTTGTCAGATTTGTGGCAACGGATCCCTAGTCTAGAGGCATTTTTTGAGCTCATTTATTGCTGAGGCTAAGCTGTATATGCTAGATAGCAGTCACATTTGCCTGCAGAGTGGTTGGTTATACAAAACGACTGCTTATTTATGGGCTTCAACCGCCCACTCTGTCAAAGAGTCAACAATTTGTTAAGAGGACAAATGAAAAGGTCATGTTCTCAGTCGATGGGGTTAATTAGCATAAGTGGAGGTTCTACAATAGCGTTTCAACATCTCTTAAGGTCTTTGTTCACAACGGAATCATTATTACTACAATCAAAGTCGTCGTCGCCCTCAAGAAAGCTGACTTAAATGAACAAGGCAAAATAAGGTTAGGGGAGTTCATCATCCCCCAGGGCTACTACTCCTGAATTCACTCATACCCGTCTTTTTCCAATCATTTAGGCCCTCCGGTGGAGTATACACTTATATTTCTCAACTCACCATTTTACTTGATTAATCCGTGGCTCTGTTTGCTCTTTCTTGCTTCCAGTATTTGCTGTTTTGAATCCAAAGCAGAATAAGAAGATAAGTAGTGTCACTCTTGCCTACATTTTCGCCTTCAATCTCATTTCGTCGCTTGCTTGACTAACCCACTCCATCCTGATTAAATTAGGTAAGAAGGCATGCCCTTCTTCCATTTCTCTTTCCACTAACTCAATGGGTCTAGTACAATGCTACACCTGTGGTCCTTTGCAATCATCGAACCCTCAACACACCCCTACATGTGCACCCTGATTTTTTCAGCGAAAAATAATCACGACATTGTAAAACAAAGGAACTAAATGTACGGCGCCGGAGCCGCTTGGGAG